TTTTGTTTCGGTTGGAAATTGTGACCTGCATCTTTCCCGCCTGCACGCTTCGTGGCGCATCGGCGAAATGCTTGTAACCGGCACATTATGACATATATTTAATGAAAAAATTGAGAAGGATGTTGAAATATGTAACAATAAAACCAGAAAGTTTCGTTTCAATTAGAGTATTCATATCCTTCCCTAAAAATTCCTCAAAAGAACGTATTTTTGAAGCTTCCAACAGGCTCCCCACTTAAGGCAAAATGCCACTTACAACTAGTTCAATGAATATGCCATATAAATATAATTATTATATACTTTAATTTTCATGTCATTTAATTGTTTTTTCAATTATTTTCCAGTTGATCGACTTCACCCCCGCTGGCCGAGACAGTGCGAACATCAGGGCGAAATGCAAGGCGTTTTGGGAGCTGGTGGACTCGACGCCCCGCCTGAAGGGCATGATGGTGCAGGCGGAGGAGAAAGCAGGTTTATATTTCAATTATATCATATATATATATATATATATATATATATATATATATATATATATATATATATATATTCGTATGCATGTATGTACGTATATTGGTGTGAATGTATAGTTGAACGAGTGAACGTGTGCACGGCTCCTTCGACACCAGTCGATCGTCCATGGATTCGAGCGTTTACCGAAATGAAAAAAAAGGGCATGGATAAAGCTGCGGTAATAATTCATAAAAAATTATATTTATTACAAGTATAGTATTATAAAAAAAATTACACGACTATATACGCAACAGGGTATCCCAGAACTCAACGTCAAGCCAAAACGGTGTGATTGATATTGCAAATAAATGTCTCATGTATTATAGTTTGAATGTTATAAGCTTTTATGTGTAGCCTAGAGCTTTGGCCAAACTGTGACCATTTTAGGTTATTGTTGTTAATTTTTATTAATTTTGTTCATTTAAACTTTTGAACCATAACCGTAACAGTCCAGAACAATGTACCGTTGCACGAAAATTTTCAAAAATTAATGTTTATAATACATTTTGTTGAACTATTCAAAATTTCTCAAGACGGGTGACTTTGAGAGGCCTCCTTTTTGAAAAATTATACTTAAGGGTGTTAGCAAGCTCCGTCACAACTTAGCGCATTCAATAAGGATTATAAAACGGTAGAATACTTGTTAGCTTTATAATAAAAAAAAAACGAATAAAAAAATAAGAACCTAGAAATAACCCAATTTCTGCTACTACATTTTATTCACAATAATCAGTTTTTTAAATGTTAAGGTAAGCGAAAGCAAATGCTTGAACTGATTGTGGATGAAATGCTATTAGATCGTTAGGTTTTTATTTTTTTACTCGATTTTATCAAATATTCAAATTATCAAATATTTCACCACTTTCTAATTCTGATTAATGCTCCAACTTCCGATGTTTTGCCAACACACTTTATTGTTTTTTTTAGAGGTTGACCTCTCAAATTCGACTAGTTTTGGAAATTCATAGTTCAACAAAAATATCTAGTGGTGTATGGCATCGTGCCTTAAGGCAAATTGCTGGAACTTCCCGTACCGTAACGAAATGTTCGAGGAATATTAAATGTTTTAAAATAGATTATAAATAAATACTGTATATTGTCTAATATTTATAAGAATTATTTATGAATTGCAAAGGCAAAATTATTTATTCAGAATGAGCATTAGAAGTTTAGCCAGAATTCAAATTAAAACCTAAATTGAAATATTTTTATTCCAAAAGCAATTAGTTCGTCAAAACAAGCAGAAAGTTTTTGAATCATTCAAATCGGACGCTTAGTTCACTCAAAAACTGCCATTTTTTGCACATTTAGCTTTGTATCTTCGAAATAGCCAGACCTGTATTTTCCAAAAACTAATCACCTCTTCTCCCAATCATTACAAATTGAATGTTTTATCGATTTATTCAAATCGGATGCTTTGTTCTCTCAAAATCTCGATTTCTATTTTCCATCAATATTAATCGAATGCTTTTTAAACTATTCAAATCGGTTGATCCGTGCGCCCGAAAACGTAAACGAAAATTTGATGACATACAAAACACACACACAAATCCATTTTTTTCTGAGGTATGCCAAAATGTTCAGAAACCTTTGAAACGTGAAGATTTTCATTTTCGATTTTATTTAAAAGCTCATAATTTTGAAACTACTTGGGAAAGAAAACTTTTCATGATGGTTACGATCCATATTACCATCCCGTTTCGGCTTTTTATTGAGTTCTGGGACAGTCTTTTTATTTACCTGAAAAAAATGAAGTTTATCATGGTAGTTATACTTTTGTCAACTCAGTATGTTTAAACACAGTACATATTTCTAGTACATCTCACTATTCTTTTAAATTTCTTTTTAACAATTTCAAGCTTTACTTCAAAAGACATGACCCTCTTCTTCAGACCCATGGTTATATAGTAAATAATATTTCGTAAATGTACAAAAACCAAAGAACGCGAACTCAACATATAAGATATAATATATAAGCTATTATATATAATAGCTCCTTATAACTAAAAGTATTAATTTTTTCGATTCTCTAGAAATTGTTTAGAATATATCTTACTTAGCAAAACAATGCTTGCCGGGTCAGCTAGTTTAATTATACATTTACTATTAATTAAGTTAAAATGTTAAACGTTGAAATAATCTTCGATATATTCGAATAGATAATTCGTTTGCACACAACATTAATATATAATTGAAATGACTAACTATAAAATGATTTACTATCATAAAACAGCCAAAATATTTCTGTGGTAAGAAAGTCATTATTGCAAATGCCAATTTTTTTGTATTTCTCGTATCTGGAATTTTACTAGTTTATCAAAACAACGAATCGCACATTTGGCGGCTCGTATCTCGAAACATTCGTAAGTCGTAGTACCACTATATGAGCCGCTCAGTGCACACATCGACTAACTCCACTTTTTGAAAAAACTGAGATATTAGTGGGAAAGAACTTGGTATAATCATAACTTTTTATAATTATAATAATTTTCCAAAAGAATAAAAATTGCCACTGTGAAACGAAAATTTTCATTTATTTCAGAAGACATTTTGATTAACTCCATTCTCTAGTGTTTATGTTCTGGTTGGGTTAGATTTCGGGTTTCAAATTCATGAATTACGAATAAGAACACAGAACACAGAATAGTAGGGTGTTGTGGGTCTCGAAAAAAATTCATCTAGTTTTATAAAAGACATCGAGGACGTTACAAACTTTGAAAAAATAACATACTAAAATTCGTGTACCCGGCAAAACAAGAATATTAAAACTGCCTGAAGTTTATTGAAACTTGTTCAAAGTACGGAAATAAGAGCTAACTTAATTAAAAATAAATTTCTGGTCGGTGAAAATAGTTATTAATCTATTGACTCAAGATTTTGTCATTATTGAGTCACGTGCGAAAAAAAATCGAGACATATTTTACCAGATAGTTGATACAATATAATAAAAACATTTAAGAAAAAAGCGCCATTGTAGCTAAGCCGAATGCTTCACTAAGATTTTTTATCTATTTTTTATTTATTCAGAACAATAAATCAATAACAGAAAAGTAACCATCACAGCGTGTCCAGAAAATTGGCCTAAAATGCGCTGAATTTAGAATAAAAAGGTCCAAACCCAACGGTATACAATTTAAGTGTGACTACAATGAAGATCCGAATTTAAAAAAAAAGTTTAAAGTTTAAAAAAAGTTGAAAACTTGATTAACTCCACAAGTCATATCAAAATTTTAACTTTAATGATAATTATTTTCTCACTATTAATAGTTATAAATCTTATATACCGTTACATGTAAGCTATATATGTATTTATACGTTCTAAAATATATTTTTCAATTTATAATATAACAGAAATTTTTAAAAGCAATATACATTACTTTATCGCTTTTCTCCACTTTCTGACTTTCGGAGTTAGTCGATGTGTGCACTTAAGGGCTCATATATGCATATATTTATTTTAATCCCATATAATGTCAGTTGGCAGCATATGACGGGTGCAAATATTGCGAGAGCGAACTAAAAGCGTCAAACATGCCATCAACTACAAAAAAGACCTCACGACTCGAACTGCCCATAGAATGCAGATCAGACTTGTTTATAATCGACCCTTACCGGGTCGACAGAATAATCACAACCCCCAAAAAAATGGAACCGAACATGTACATCGATCAATGGGCCATCAGACTCCAAAAGAAAAGAAAGGAGAAAGAATGTTGATAAAACACAAATTTATTTTACATGTTAAAAATTCTTATAAAGTAAATACATCATCCAGTTACACACGTATTTATATATCCATATAACTCGACAAAGTAGCTTTACACAATTTGGAAATTGCAATGTGTTAAAACTAATTGTTTTTTTAGAACTATATTATATTATATTTTGGGGAATATTAAAGTTACGGACCTACAAAAATTAAGACTATGTAATGTATTCTTCTTTAGCCACTGACAAATTTAAATAATAAATCTTGCTTCGATAAGTAATTTGAACTAATATCGATGACTTTCTTTCATTTTTTGAAAACTAAAAACTCTTGTACATATTTGTTTACATATCTATATATATATAGTACATACTGCATATATCACCTTTATATAATATATACGCGTTCAGAAAATCTTACATACATAATAAATTATAGACCTATTTGTTGCCATATCCAATAATAATTCAGTTTTGAAAATAATCTCGAAACAGTCTCACATCCGTCGATTTGATATATATTAAATATGTGCTCCCTTCATATACATATATATATAATCAATTAATTGCAGACTATTTATACAAACATATAATTCATTAAGAAATAAAAAAATATAATGATTTAAATATTGCATGATATATAAAACATTTTGTCCAATTGTTTAAAAACTAATAAAAGTAAAAGATGAGCTGCTTGATATCAGGTCGGCTCATTTAAGGGGACTGCTGGGATCTTGTCTTAGAATTGTCTTTACTTATTGTGCCGCCACTGGCTCTGTCCTTGATACCGCTTCTGAAACTGGAGGAAAAGAAACTTTAGTAAATAAATGAATTAAATGAACTAGCTGTAAGTGGAATTCTGTCTTAAGGCAATTAAGGCATCGTGCTTTAAGGCAAATTGCTGGAACTTCCCGTGCCAAAAATTATTATTTTTTTAAAAACAATAAACTTTTTTGAAAAAATTTTACTTCGAAAAAATTAGATTTTTGAGAAGCTATAAATTTGACAAAAAATTACTTTTAAAAAAAAAATTGTTTTTTTTGAAATCAATTTTTTTTGAAAAGAAAAATGTTTTCTTTATTTTGACATATTTTGGAAATTCTGAAGGTTCAAAGCAATCGTACTGCTTTCACTGCATAGAGACAAAATATAAAGCGCATAAGCGCCGCGTCGCTGTCTAATGGGTAAACATTGGTACGGAACCCATAGGAATGTAAACAAAATTTATACTTATTGTTAAAATCTCTATAAAA